TTGATAGTATGGTTAAGATTAATGTTCAACTAGTTTGTCGTCGTCAAGCAGCAATCAAATGAAGAGAACAAGCCTTATCATTATTCCATCGTGTTGAATCAAAGAATGCTACCTCACAATATTTCTACTTAGTTTCAATTTCCAAGTCAAAAACAACTTTTTTTGCTTGGTTATGCGTTTCGTGTCATATGGAATATCATTCAATATGGCGGCTGAACTTATGGGTTGCACATATGATGTTTTGAGCAATATAGATTTATGTGTTTTTGATACAAAATTATTAATCTAGTTTAAATTATCTACGTTGTTAATCTACAGAAAATTGCCAACCTTCTTCAACGTTCTTAGGCATATTTATTAGCACTCAATTCGGCGACACATCAAAATACTTCATTTCTTGATATATATTTTAGTATCTTCATTTGCAATTATCATTCTATTTTTAACTTGCATGATTATGCACTTCTAATGTTTGATCGTCATACAGATGATATAATAGTTACAATGATGAGCTGCTTCTTGAATTCGCTCTATCAAGAATCAACAATTTGTCTTTTGGTTTGACAACAAATGGAGATCGCAATATGACAGGATGAATTATTCGACCTGTTGTTATTTGCTTTTCAACATGATGCACAAATAATATTTTTTATTTGGATTTGGTGCAGAGCCAATTTAGTAGATTTTATTATGGTTGAGATAATAAATAATATCATAAAAAATGATTTTTTAAAGATGATTGGATTTATTACTCATCTAACACGATAGCAAAATTTGATCGCAAAAATGTAAATAACATGTTTTTTTTTTTAAATCGTAGGCTTTTGACATATAAGATCATCATTTGATCTAAAATTCATCGGATAAATTGCTCGTTCATATCGAATCAAAGAAGCTAGCTATCGAGGTGTAATGGATTACACCTCAATTTTGGTGGTATGTACTTTTTTCTATGCATCAATTTATCACTCAAGTAACTATTGGTTTTTGTGTTATTCAAGAATCAACTACTCTTGTACTTCAGCAACAAAATGTCATAGATAACCTTGTTGCAACTTTCATTGTCAACGTTGGACTGATTGAATTATTCAATGTAGATCGATTGTGAATGTCAACCTATCGACACGTCATCCTAGGTTATTATGCGGTTGCTTTGTCTAGTGTACACAATTTTTTCATTTGTCTAGCTTCTTGAATTAAAATCTTACTTAATCAAGCTGATGAAAGCAAATTAATTTATGTTCAACACAATATTGTTTGTGTTTACATCATAGCTTGGTATCAGATTTATGAAATTTATGCTTATCAAAATTAAAATAACAATGCAATTATTGACTTTGAATCTATTTTTATAGTGCTATCACATGAGTTGTCAAACTATCTACCATAGATTTTATTATAAAGATTCTACAACATTTTTTTTTCTTGGAGCATTGTTATTCAAAGCCAATGAGTACAAAGTTATAATCCATGACCATAGATGTAAGCCGGTGGATAAATGCCTCGTCGATTCGCTCTCAAGCAGTTCAAGTTTCAAGTATGATAAGTCTTCGTTTGATGTTTGATTTCCGAATTAGATGAAAAATTGTGATGTAGTTGTAGCATATTTTTCTGGATTAATATTGTGAAGTATGACTTTATAATTTTGCGCTTGAGGCTGGATTTGTTTCGCAAAAAACATCAACATTGTATTAGAATTAGTCATGCAAGCAAAACAATTTTTGTTCATTGAGAAGTTCTAACATTGATAAATGCTAAGTAAACAAATTGTTTGAAAAATGTCTATATTAATTTTTTGAATAGACTAAATAAACCTAAATTAATTTTTTTGAGACCAAATTAGCCTAATTTAAGTTTTTTGGAGTAGATTTAAATAGTAGAAGGCTTTTTAGATTGAATTGTTAAGTCATAATTACATATAATTAGAAATAAATCAATATTTGTAAAAAATTTCAAAAACATTGTTATTCAATCTATATGGTTGAATGATTTTTTTAACATATACTCAATTTATCAATAGAATTATTATTTCAACACATAAATTTAAAATTTTTTAACCAAATTTATATATAATCAACTTTCATATAACTTCATTTGTAAATCTATCATTTTCATAAGTTTGTACATTGTGTTTCTAGAGACTTAAAACTCATTATATAAAAACATGTATTCATATTTTGAATCATATTTATATCCATATCATATGAAAATAAAATTATGATATATTATTATCATTGAAGAAAATAAATATATTTTTATTATTATTTAGAAATAATGATATTTTTGATTTTTTGGAAAATTTATATTAGGCCGATATTTACATATTTTGGCATGTACATAGTTTTCTTATTTCAAGAATCTAAAACTGCAAAAATTAAACTTTGATAAAAATCAAATAATGAATTATATCTCACATCATATTAACATTTTCAGATAAAAATAATTTATATACTACTGGCAATGTTAACTAGATAGACATGTTAGATTAAAAAAATGTTATATGTACAATTGATTTTCTTTTTTACATCTTGAATACAATTATGATGTTTTTATGATGTTGATATTACACATCAATTCCTTTAAATAATCACTAAAATTTTCATTTAATGAACTTCCTGCTTGAAATATAGTTTTAGAATATTATAAATATTTCAAATTAAAAATAAAATTGTAGACTAATGACAATTTTTTTGGTTAAAATTTTCTAAAATTTGTATGTTTACATATACATATACATACTTATTAACAATTTTTTGAATTTTATTTCGATTTGCAGAAACTGAACATTATGAATATCCTGACCAATGAAGTTAGTCTTGAGTAATAAAATTTGTTTACATTTATGTTCATAATGTCAAATTCTTTGAAATCTTGATGAAAATTCATAAATGAAGTGAAAAACTAAAATAACACACAAGTTTATTATGCATGATAATTCTTTTGATCAAAGTTATCATCAAATTTGATGATGAATTGTTACACATATAAATCCGATTTATAAATATAATTTTTGTATAAGCCAAAAAAAGTTATACTGTATATGTGAAATAAAAAAATTAATAAAGAATTCATTTCTGCATAGTTGAAATATTGAATAAGGTGAATTATTTTTTAATATTCTTTTGAACAGAAATTTAAAACAAAAAATTCTATTCCAGATATATTGAAATAAATTTTTATTTTTTTCGAATCCAAGCTAAATTTTAACTAAATACTTATTCAAGATAATTATAATTTACATGTTTATCTAGATTTATTATTTATTAACATTTTTGTAATATATATACTTGCAATTTTTTTCATAATAAAATATAATAGAAATAAAAAGATATACAGTGTGTATATTTTTCGGTTTTTATAATATAATTTACTATATTATATAAATAGGAATTGTATTTTTTTAATATATTGTTGAAAATAAGATAACAGAAATAATTATTGTGTTAATTTATAGAAAAAATTATGCTTTTTGATTTGATTCTTTGAATAGAAAGAAAAAAAATTGAATTCAAATGTTGTCTTTGACGAATATACTCATAAATTTGTTTTGTCATAATGAGAAGAAATCAAACTTAGAATTAATAGTTATAACTTTATGTAAATTAAAAAAAAAACATTATATTTTTGGATTATCAAATACAAACAATTTAGTTTAAATTTTTATGTTTTTTAACTTAATAATATAAAAATATATTTGTAAATAATGATTATTATATAAAGAGTATAATTTGTATTAAACTATTTATATATTTTCACAAATAATTTGCTTGGAAAAAATATTTTTTTTGATAGAAATCTAAAAATTGCATGAAATTCATTATACATATTCAATTATATATAATAATTTGTGAAGATTGTATATTTGAAATTAAATTTTGTTCAAATTAATAAATTATAATCTTCACTTTGGCATCTTATTACTTCAAAACATATGCTTATTCTATTTACATAGAGATAGATGAAACTGAATGATATTTTATTATGAAATATTGACAAACTTTTGGATTACTATTGTAAAAGATGAATTTTTTATTGTAAATGTTCAAATCTCAACTCATATCTAAATTCATTTCAAGATCTACTTGATGAGAGTAGAAAACAAGAAATATTCAACTTTAAGCATATTATGTGATATATTATTCACATTGGAATGACAAAAAAATATGATCCATTAGTATGAAATTATACAAAGATGAAATTATAAATATGACATGAAACATGTAATAGAAACTCTTTAGAAAGAGTTTCTATTCAACAATTGGAAATAAATCTCACAACATGTATTATAACTATCTTGGTATGGATGACATCATCTAATGTTTTTTTTTTTAGTTTTGAATTGGTGAAATTTGGTATTATTGGTATATATTAAGGGGGCAGCTAGTCATATTTCAGTTTGGTCTAATTATCACTCACCCTAGTCTAATGTGCATTACTTCTTCCATTTTCTTTTGCCAGTGAACACTATATCACAAAAATTTAATAAACATAGTAATAGCTCTGACCAATCACATAGCTTTGTTCAATAGGGTGACGAATCACATAGTTTTTTTTAGTAGGGTGAAATATAATTAACCCAAATTGAGTTATAACTAATCATTTGAGTATTGATTAGTAAAAAAAATTGGAAATTATATCACACAAAACTAACTCCGAAGAGATGGTTATTATCAATCAGATACAAGGATATGAAAAAATTCAGATTAGCTGATAATTGGATGATGTTTCATGGTTTGTTGAGTAAATAATTTAGAATATTAATATTGCATAATTACCATGTAGATACTAATGTGGCTAGTCTAGGTACATCTCTTTACGCTGACGGTACAGCGCAAAGTTGATTTCCGCTCGCAAAGTGGTCACTAACGGGTATTACGTTCCGGCTAAGCAAAGTACATTATTATAGTGTACTCTGTATTTTTCTGGATGGCTGCGTACGCGCTCGCCAGAGTGAGCAGCAACGTCTGTGAACGAATAGAGCGCCCGCGAGGAACGAACGAGAAAAGGAATGGAACCTTTGTTAGGGTTGCGAAGGTGCGTCGAGCTCGGGGTTCAATTGCGCAATCTTCCGTCCGGTCGTCGACCATCGGGTCAGCTTCGACGATGGATTGCAGTTTCTGGGCTCAGGTAAATTTATTCCTTGTTGAATACTTCTCTTTTGGAATGCCAATTCGTCTCCTTCTGCACTCTGGAGTGCGCCACAGGTTCCTTTTGTTGTTCATGTCGTCGGATTGATTAAGATTTAAAATATGGGGCTCAGGGTTTTGGTTCTTTTTGGTTTGAGCTGCAGCCGGGGTGCTGGGTGGGGGGCACATGACAGAGGTTCATGGGGCAGCAGCTTGAGGACTTTCGGATGGATCGGAGTTTTGTGGTTTAGTGGAGAAATTTCGCCACTCTCTGCTTACATGCGTCGTGATTTCTCAGTGAGGCTTTTGTCTCTCCGCTCTCTGTTAGGTGATTGTGGTGTTTCCTTTTCTTGCAATTTGAGTCCTGTCGGTTGAATGATCCTCGAGTGTTTGCACCTGCTGGACATCGTTCTCTTTGTTGGAATTACCTGCATTACTGTCTCGAAGATATATAATTCCACAGGCGTCCAGGAACTTATCTCGATTTTATCGACCGTTCTTGGACTTCGAATCCCTGTAGAAGGTTTGACTGCTCTGTCGGAGTGAGAAGTTTTTTAGTGGAAGTTGTTAATTTGCAGTCACCGAGTTCCCGCAGGTTTCAAACAAGAACTCTCGTTTTAAATTAATGTGTTTGCGGCAGAGGACTGTTCAGCCATCTATCGGCCGGGTGAAAATTGGTAGGGAGTAGGGCGCCGCTGTAACTGTAAGATGCCCTATACTCAAAGAATATTGCTGATGTTCTGGAAACGATTTTACCCTTGACTTGACAATCTGAGCCCACCTGAGGGACTCTTTCCCTCGAGTCACTAAGGGCTCTCAAATAATTCCCAGGTGCTATATTTGATTGTCAGTGCCTTGTGTTGCGTACCAGGTTTTATAGTTAAGTTCAAAATGTACCTGTCAGCTGTAGCCAGGGGGCTAATTTCTTGGTGACTCTTGTGTCTGTCTCTGTATCGAACTATCAAGCAGAAAACAGATGCTTCTGATGCGAAAGCTCACACCTGCAACCTGAATCGTCCTTCCAGTCGCTGTGTAGCGTATCTGATTTTGGAAGCTTGTAGTCTCGCATAACGTGGCTTTTTTCGGTTTATTTGTGCTGGATACAATGCTTGTCACCTCTCTGATGTGTTTTTTTTTGGATTGTGCAGGCGTAATCCATAAAGTCATGGGATATTTAGAAACTAGTTTATGTCGTCTTGAGTAGAAAGATATCGGAGAAGGCCCCTCTGAACGAGGGAGTTTCTGGCATAACATATACAGTCTGGTGGTTTATTCGAGTTGCAGTAGAAAGGAAGCGTTTCGAAATGCCCGGGATCGGGGAGGTGTTGGCGCTGCCTGCACCTCCGCCTGGTGGAGTTGTAGGTCCCTTACCTGCTTCCCAGCTGCCAGATGATTCTGAAAATGTTGCAGATAACGGAGAGGCAACGAAAGATGCTTCGTCCAAGCCAGCTTCCGTGGCCACTCAGACCAGAACCATTGGTATGATCCACCCTCCACCCGATGTCCGGAGTATAGTGGATAAAACTGCACAGTTTGTGGCTCGTAATGGGCCTGAGTTTGAAAAGCGTATCCTCGCGAACGAGAAGGGAAATGTTAAATTCAACTTTTTGAAGTCGGAGGATCCTTATCATGCTTACTACCAACACAGGGTATCGGAGTTTCGGATACAGCTGCAGGCTCCGGCACAGGCCCCCAGTTTGGTTGCTGCCATTGCCGCAGCACCGAAGCTACCTGAAGGTGGTGCAGCCCCAACTTCCAAGGAACAAGAAGACTTGGAATTCGAGACCACAACAAAGCCTGCTGCGAAGGCTCTGGAGCAACCAGAACCGGAATTGTATACTGTAAGGTTACCCGAGGGTCTAACTGGTCTGGACTTAGACATCATAAAGCTGACGGCGCAGTTTGTTGCACGAAATGGGAAGAACTTTCTCAATGGTCTTACGAACAGAGAACATTCGAGTCCTCAGTTTTATTTCCTGAAACCGACACACAGCATGTTCACTTTTTTCACAGCATTGGCGGATGCTTACTCCAAAGTTCTCATGCCACCGAAGGGACTGGTGGAGAAGTTGAAAAGAGATTCGACAAACAAGACTATGGTTTTGGAGAGGGCTTTACAGAGGCTAGAATGGGAGAGATCACAAGAGAGAGCAAGACAGAAAGCCGAGGATGAGATAGAGCAGGAAAGAATGCAGATGGCTCTGATTGACTGGCATGACTTCGTGGTCGTGGAAACCATTGAGTTTGCCGAAGAGGAGGACGAGGAGCTTCCCCAGCCTATGACTTTGGAAGAAGTGGTCAGACGAAGTAAGGCTCTAGCCATGGAGGAAGACGAGGAGGAGGCAGCCGAGGCCGGTAAGGAAGTGGAGATGGAGATGGATGTGGAGGAGCTGCAGCTTGTTGAAGACGGAATGAGTGCTGCCAGTCTCAACGAGAAGTCTTCAAATGATTCACAACCCATGGAGGATGTGGACCCGCCATTGAGAATTGTGAAGAACTGGAAGAGGCCCGAGGAGAGAGTTCCTGTGGAGAAAGATCCCACTAAGTTTGTGGTTTCACCTATTACTGGAGAGCTCATTCCAATCAATGAGATGGCAGAGCACATGCGAATATCTTTAATTGATCCAAAGTATAAGGAACAAAAAGAGAGAATGATGGCGAAGTTGAGAGAGACCACTCTTGCCACTGATGACGAGATTTCTCGCAACATCGTGGGGCTGGCTCGCACCAGGCCTGATATTTTTGGAACGACAGAAGAGGAAGTCTCTAATGCGGTGAAGGCCGAGATTGAGAAAAAGAAAGAGGAGCCAAAGCAGGTTATCTGGGATGGACATACAGGAAGCATCAGCAGAACTGCCAACCAGGCCATGTCTCAAACTATGACACTGGAAGAGCAGATTGCGGCAATTCATAGGGAGAAAGCCAACTTGACGGCAGATGGTAGGCCTCTCCCTGGTCCTGCAGCTCCTCCTGGTCCGAAGCTTGCGGCTCCTCCACAACGACCTCTTCCGCCACCACCTGGTTTGGCTTTGAACATTCCCCGGCCCCTGCAGCCACCCAATCAAATCTCCTCTGGAACAACTTCTGCCCCCGTGCCACCACCTGTACAGAGGCCGGCAATTCTTCCTACGCCTCCAATTCGACCACCTTCTGCAGTCCCCTCTCTACCTCCTGTAAATCCACTGCTTGTCAGGCCTCCACCAGCACCCATTCCTGCCCCAATGCAACCCCCTCCTTCCGGGGTTCCACAGTATCCACCTCCTCCTAGACAATTCGCTCCGGTTCTACCCCCACCGATGGCCATGGCCCCCCCTCCGCCTCCTCCTTCAGTTATGCCACCACCACCTCCGCCAGACGAGGCTCCTCCCCCACCTCCAGAGGAGCCAGAGCCAAAGAGGCAGAAGATCGATGATGTGCAACTCATCCCCGAGGATCAGTTTCTCGCCCAGCATCCGGTACGCTCACCAAGCTCTGTGAAAGTCTCTTATGCACACTTAGCCTGGCATTTTTGCGTTATAGAGATGTATGTTCTCGTCCTTACCGTCCCTTCTGTTCATTTCAGATAGCGAGTGCTTGCAACTTCTGTGCACTGACTCGATTGTGTTTGCTCTTCTCCTGGCAGGGACCTGTACGCATCAGTGTCTCGGTGCCCACAGTTGAAGGCGAAGGTAACTTCAAAGGCCAGACGTTGGAGCTTACTATACAAAGTCTTGCGGAAAGTATTCTCAGTGTCAAGGAGAAGATAGCTAACGAGCTTGCCTTACCGGCCAACAAACAGAAGCTGAATAGCCATTTGGTTTTCCTCAAAGACAACTTGTCATTAGCGTATTACAACATAGGACCTGGTGAAACACTTCAGTTAGGACTTAGAGAGCGTGGAGGTAGGAAGAAGTAGCCTGAGATGGAAGCTTACTTCCCGTCCTATAAAAGTAATATTTCTACTTGGCTTCGTTCATTGGATGTCATGTTTTGTGCCATATTGCGTTGCTTCTATGGATGGCCGAGCTTGCTCAAATTGGAAACAGGACCAACAATATTTTGTCCGGTTTTATGTCTCATGCTCATCAATGTGATGTTCCCATGCTTGGGTTGTGATATATATATATATATATATATATATATATATATATATATATATATATATATATATTTATTTATTCACCAGTAATTATCTTCTTCACTCGTGGTAGACATGGAGTCATCATCAAGTGTCTATCATAAATCACCGTACTAGCTGGGGAGATCGTGACCAGGTCACCTCGCGAGGCTGGTTTTGTGAGTAAAGCTACTACGAGGTAGTTGTGCACGTTGCAATTTCTCCTTTTCACCTCATCTGCATCTTGCCTGCGAAGGCCATCTGTAGCTGTGGCGGTTCATGCTAGCAGACCTTGCGATCTTGTTCTATATTGCCCTCCCGCCTTCGGAGTTGAAGGCGCGTTCTGGCAATAAATGTGGTAAGACTGTTACCTCGGTGTAGTAGCAACTGTTTTGTGTTGGAACCTTGCTGGGAGACGTTTGTACTTCTCTGCCCACTCAAATATACCTGCCGAACGCATGCTTTCCCCCCAAGTTTTTGGGCATTCTCGGAAGATCAGCACTGGACCGAGACGACCGTCAACTTGGGTCCTCTGGATCATTCAGTGTAACCGAGTTGGCCACAACCGTCTCTTTCTGTATCTTATTTATAATCGTGAGAGCAAAGCCCTGGATACATAAGATACTAGTTCTTATATCGTAGAGTGGATTTATATGAATTCATGTGTTAGTGCGCACGACTCTCATCACTTGGGAGGGTAGTCATGGAATCAAAGCTCTGATTGTTTCTAGATAGTCTCAAATTTCAAAACACATGATAACTGGTTTCCCGGAGGTGGGCATTCGCAAACCATTGCTGCTGTTCTTCTACTATGTCTATAGAAACTGTCTACCGATGGGTGGTACAAGTAGCTCAATAATATTGTCCAAGCTATGTGTGTATGTAATTTATTTCAATTTATGTGATCTTTCCCATGTTGGGAGACTATTACATTTCTGACTGTTTCTACAAGAAAGCCGGAATGTATGATGCGCTTCAAGACTTACAAGACGTGGACTCGTCAAGCATTATTGCTGAACAATAAATATCCCTTTTACTCTCGCTAAGCTCTAACAGTAACCGAGAAATTATACAGGTAAACTTCAACTTCGCCTGATCTTCCACTTCCCTCGCCGGAGACCTGAGAGACAACAGCCTCCTGCGAAGAGAGCAATCGGAGTAAGTGAGCAAAAAGATTTTCGTTCTCTTGTGGGAAACAGAGGAGTTGTCTGTCACCCACTCAAAACAATCAGAACAAGTGACTACATGCTTGTACATCTTCATCAAGGAATCTGCCATATCATATTTGACTCGCTTTAACAAGGCTAACTAGACGATAAAGCTTCCACCATAATTCTTAGACATCCATCACCGACAATAGTTTCTGCTCCCTTTTGTCACTGTTCTCATATTATAGGAGTCAGTATAGATTATAGAATCTCAAAAAAGAGAGAGAATGTGTACCTCAAGAGGGTGGCTCCCAGGACCTGTGTTCCTGCTCTCTAATTACATTGATACCAGCTTCCAATGTTAAATCTCCTAAAACGCAAACAACATCTTCACTTCCTGCAACTGCTCTTGTCGCAGATACCATCGTCATACCTTCTATGACACTACCCGCTGTTGCATGGACAACTTGCACCGTTTCCATAGAATCCCCTATAACCTGCCTGGAAGCTCTCTCCGTTCCTCTCACAGTCATTACCACGTCATCAAAGATATCCCCTGCCTCGATAATATCATCTATGCGATCCAAAATCATGTCTACACCTTCAGATGCATACTCCATGACCTCGTCGTCTGGGAACTGAATAGCCTCTTCAACCTGCAATCATTTATCACATTGGGGCTTCAAATTTCTGTTGGTCCGGCACAACTAAGAAAGTGGACTACTGGAAAGTGATCTCTCATATACTCCTCACTGATGCGTGAAAGTTGCTAAGCGCAGTCCAAGTTACCAATACTGGATGACATTAATGACCTCATCAAGGAGCATAAACAAGCCTTACACTTGGGTACAGACTAGCGGAACATAAATGATTTTTTGACATGACAGTACCATGTAGCTGAGGGCAAATCGTGATCTAATAATATCCTCAAGATGATGGTACACTCCTTCGAGCATGGATGGTATAAATTGCAGCTCAATCTGCACTTGACAAAAGTAATGCATGCACTCAGTTAACGGATGAGCACTTGGACCAAAAACTTATAGCTTAACGGTTCGACCTGAACACTTTCAGTGTGACGCTCGATCGAACCCGTCTCCCTTCACAAGAATGTTACCAATCGAGTGAAGAGAGCGATGAAACCGTTGGTACATAAATAATTTATATCTACAAAGTGGATAACGTGTGTCTTCAACAGTGGGTGTAGTCGCATGCATATTGCGAAGTGGAATGTACAACGGAACATGTATACAATATAACCTAGCAAATGTGAACAAAACACACAGTGACGCGTACCAAAATGTCTTGTGTAGTTCTTTGAACAGGTAAATGTATGTATATAGGCTTATATCGTATTAACTAACATCATATCCAACCTTGGTACGCTTAGGCTTATAGAAATAGTATTTATTTATATGCATGATGTTAAGTGAACATAGTCTCGATACGGAGAGAACAGGGGGAGAAAGATATGGGATAAAGTAGAATTCTTGTATGATAAGAACTGAAGAGATGATTTGGTCCCGGTCCAATTAAAGAACATAATACTCGAGGACAAGGGTGAAGTGATAATACGACAAGGAAAGGTGTTCCACTCAAATGTAAAGGAAGTTGAGGGAAAGGAGGCATCGCCTGCAGGTCAATGGATATAAACATGCAAATCCTGTATCTTGAGAACTGGGCATGCTCGGCGGGGTTTACTCTCATATCAGATTGTAGAAGTATTCTCATGTACAAAATTGAATCGAAGATAAATTGTTGTGCTTAAGTTCACGTCCAGCACAGTAGCGAAGCAAATGCACAGAGGAGTCTCAGTTTGTGGATGAGGGTTGAGTAATAGACCTCTCTTTGTACAGGATCATAGAAGTAGCCTTCTTTCTGGAGTTTCTCAATCAACTTCTCTTTCATCTCATGAAGATACCATTTTGCGCATTGCTGTGCCTCCATCTAGATTCAAAAAAAGTTCATCGTAAGTGTCAAGTCGAGGGAAGAAGAAAATTAACACTCAATAAGGAATTGGCTGTATAAGATGATAATGGATTCTCTCATGAGCAATGTACTAGGTTTCATATTCGACTGTTTACTCTTCAACTTGGTATATTGGGATTGGTCGGTATATTCCCATACTTCAAATTTACTCAAGTAGCTAACCTACTGTTATCCAAACAGTTGTGAAAAAAGGGAACAGTCAACAAGCATCGACTTCCAGGCCCATGGCAATCATGGAAGATCAGAAACTGAGCAAGGTCAACACTTGAACTTCTTCTGTCAACACTTGAACTTGTGTAGATGGATGTAGTCCAAGAGCTGCGGGTAATATGCGACGTATTCTATCTTGCTGCCTTCCTCCGATTCAAATTTCGTAGGGATTCGGCAGAGGAAAAACATGTGACTGTTCGTCTCCCCTTCAGAGGACCAGGTAAGAAAAGACACTTATATGACTTCCAAATCAAATTGAAGAATCTCGCTCGGGCATCTTGGAGTAGAATGAACAATTCTCATCGGAGATTGCTTCCCATGTACCAGGGATCTCCAATATTTGAAGAGGAAAGATTAGGGAAATTGATATTACTCACCCTCTCGCGCAATCTCTTCTCTTCCTCCAGTCGTTTCCTCTCTTGTTCCCTGCGGCGAGCTGCCTCTTCAAGAGCTCTTATGTGAGCAGCTTCAAGTTTTTCAGCAGCCACCATCTCTGCAATCCGTAGTTGTTCAAAACGATCCTGATCCAGAAATAAAACATTAACAAACTTTATCAGTGACACGTCTCTTTCACTGTATTTTCCAAGCAGATGGTAATGATGAAGGTCAGAAGAGCGGCACATGTTTTTTTTTTGCAGCCTATTTTAGAAGAACTCAAGGAGCTACAGCAAATGCACGAGGGATCGAAACTGCCCACTTGACATACTACTAGGAGAGGATATTTTCAATTCTATTTTTAAGACTTGGATTCTAGCGACGGCGATTACCTCACTATGAACAAGATATGGACTTTACTGACCGAGACATTTCAAAGACTTGAAAGATTTGTCACAAATAAACGTAGACAAGATAATTATGAAGACTATTGCGATATCAAAAGAAAGTAAGCACCTGGTGCATTCGTATATGAGCGAGCTGATGGTCTTCCATGACCTCCATGACAGCTTGCTCAATAGATCTTCCCACCAACACTTCCAGAAGCGGTTCGACTTCCATATCGAAGTTGAACAGATCATTCTCGTATATCTACGAGGTCTCAATCATGATTAGAACAATGACATAGACTGGAAAAAAACTATTCTCCAGAAAAGTACAACACACTGAGGTAATTTGTAATCCTTCGGAGCTAGATACAAGCATTGAGTCGAACGGTGCTGGCCCGTGACCTGCGATGTTACCAGAAACAGATCTTACACAAACGTTGACGCTTAAGGAGATAAATGCACATGGAGACAACAGCACGGAAGGTGCAAAGAGCACAAAAGAGAGAAAAGGCTAAACTGGATGAAAAACAGCGAAAAGTATCCGCTAATCTCAAAACTAATGACAAATCCAAGTCAATCAGGGAGTCCTATTCTACATATCGATTTGAGCCCTGAAGTTGATCAAAATAGAACTGTGCAGCAGGTGGAAAACTTTGTACCTGTGTCTCTTTGTCTGGACCCGATTTCCAGGGGATAAAGAGGGGCGTTGCAGGACGGTCAAGAAATGGGTCTGTTTGAGTGACTGCATTGTAGTCTGGAATGTCTTCTGGGAGCTCCTCCAGATATTGGTCGGTCTGCGCGCTTAAAATTCAAGGAGTAAGCTAGGGAAGGCAGCAATTTGGGATTCTCTGAGTATTCCCGACATTATAATTGTCATGAGGCTTTAATAGAGGTAACAGGACAAATGACCATGAATTTTAGTTGATAAAACTATATTCGGGAATACTGAGTGAGATATGTTACTCGTAAATAAAGTGATATAAAAGTTCCGGTCTAGTTCCCGTTCTGACCTACAGTTCTCCAATGAGGAGTTCAGGCACAGTGGGTAGAAACCAACCATTGAAATTGGTGATTGATCTCCTTATCCCCCAAACTGTCATTGAAAAGAACATCTCTGTGAATGAATGAAAGACGACGTACCTGTATGTCGCAATGTTTTCTACCCTTCACTGGCTGCGGTTCATCTGAAACCCTTACAACCTTTTTCTTGGTCTTTGATCCCATATAGTTTCCGTACTTCTGTTTCTTCGGGGGTGCTTCATCGAAGGTCTAGTTTCAAGATTAACAACGTACTGGAGTAAAGAATATTGATAATGAATTTTGTTGAAAAAACATGGTCGTTGCCAACCGTGTTCGTTATGACTTGGACGACAGCGTCCTGTTATTACTATGATGGACGCTTTCATCAAACTTTGAAAGCCAGAGTGTGACATTCTACACTACATCGACAGTAGTACGGTTTTGGATGTCCATTACGTGGAATGAGTTTTCTGCATCGAAGTTATCGAAGTTCGAGTAAGATATCGAACTGGTTATACACCAGCGGATTCAACTGTCCAACCGAATACAGGCAAGGAGGTTGCTTAAAGAGAAACCTTTTGAGGGCCCGGAGCATTTTTTCCACGAACAACTCGTGGGTCGAACATGAGGTTGCGCATGGGCTCCCGCAACTTGTTGTTGGTGTTGGCATTGATATTCTCTTGTTGCAGTGTTGTGACATACTGCTCATTTTTCTCGTCAGTGGATCTGTTGAAATTGTTAAAGCCCAGACTCCCGGTGTTCCTCGTTTCTTTCCACGGCATGATTGCTTTCTCTCAGCACACTTATATGTGATTCTTGACAGATCCAGTTTACTGCTCGTCCCGGAGGTTACTTCCAGTCATATATTCCTTATTCTTGTCCGATGAGACAACGTGAGCGATAAGCGATGAGCGGCATGAACGGCAATCCAGTATTATGTTACTACCGATGGTACGAGAAATGCCGGTAGATGTGCGAAGTGGAAGCGAGGAAGAGCTCAGTAATGTAATGAAAACTTTTGTCCTCCTCTCTTGCACACTTCTTGTCTCTCAGCTAGGAACGCTTTGAACCGGAGATGATCGGTGGTTCCGTAACGTATCGAGACCGGCATTCCGCCTTTCGTTCAATCTTCAATTCCTGAGCATACAAGTTAAAATAAAGCGATTCTCAAAATCAACCTATTCGCTAAGATTGCTCAAAGCTCAAGGACAGAATTTCTTTTCAATGTCTTACGTGAAGCCTCGTGACGTTGCTGCCACACGACAGAATCTGTGCGAACGCGGAGTTCGGACGGAAAGTCAGCAAAAGAATTGCGACTGCTTCGACTTATCTGTGACCTTAAAATGTTTCACAACTTCGGTGAAACATTTCAAGCTGGATAATACACGGAAATGCAGATTTGTGACCAGAATTGTCAAGTGTCAAGGTAAAGTTGAAATAAAAGTTGAAATTCGTCCACTTTTTCTCGAGAAAATAACTTCACAATCGACAAAGGCCATTTTCTAACCGTGTCACATCGCGCATTCGACGAGGCCGAGGTGCACTGGACGGATTCCCGCCTTTCACACCGATCGCAACAGGGTGGTCGAGATATGCAGAGGTGGGACGAGGGTGTAGGGAGGAGAAGGGCGATGTCGGAAACGCTCACAAGAAGAGCTGACCATCGATCGAGTCCGATTCTCCACGAACCAAATCCTCGCACGCGCCGCGCTACGCCACTAGTCCAACGTCCCGCAACCGAAACGCGAACGTTGAGCGCTGGATCCAAGCCCGCTGCACCCAAATCCAAAGCTTCTGCCGTTCGAACATTCAAACTCCGCGCCGCAGACGTTACCACGCCGACCGACCAATGCTCGGCAGCCAAGTGTTGCGGCAACGAGCCGCTCCAACGGCAATGGCGGTCACTGGCGCGGAGGAGAGCGCGGGCGGGAGAGCGTCACGTCCCACGAGCGAGTCGAACTGTCGGGCCCGCGGCCGGATTTCATCGGATTCAGGCGAATGCCGCGCCCGGACTCCTCTTCCGCTCACTCACAGCTGAGGCTGCACCGACGGTGGTGCCCTACAGACGACACGACACGGCCTCCTTCCTTGCGGTCGCACGAGCGTTTCCACGGCATTCTTCGTGACATTCTTGATGACAGTTAAATTGGTTAGCACCCTCGCTCCATCAGCGTCAACGCCGAGCTTCGAGCTTCGAGCTTCGTCATGCCCGGACATATCTCTCGTGCTGCTATGCTGACCTGCCGAGTTTTCGTCCGGCGCCGGGCTCGTTCGAGAGGCTTTTCGGTCACCAGACAAATGCTCGGCTTTCGTGTCCGTTTCTCGCATGGATGCTTGTTGCCTCGAGCTTGCTGACTTACTGACTGACTGACGGACTGACAGACAGATTGACCGACCGCAAATGTACATGCAGTCTCACGTCTTTAAAATGCGGTCGGAAGAGCCCTCTCTTCAAGTTCTCAACCGGCGCTCGGGTTCGTATCAATCGTAACCCCTCTGCGGGCCTGATACAAGAGATTCTGTTGAACTGATCGACTTTTTCTTAGCTCGACCTCTGCGGGCCGTTAGAATATGATGGTTTCACACGACATTGCTGTGATGCCCCCTGTTCTTGGAAGTGCATCGGAGCCGGTTTCGAAGGAAGCTTCCGAAAAGTTCTAGCTTTTTTTTATTTTGTTGAGGTCTCTTGTGGAAGCGAATGGTAGTTTGAGAGATAGGATGCGGAATTTATCTGGTGGGTTTTTTAGGATGGAAAGCTACAGACGTCGACATTTCGATCTTCACGGGTGGAAATAGAAAATTTTCGATGAGAATCAGGTTTGGCGAGATCATGACGATCTGCTCCTTTCGTTTTTTTTATCGAGGGCTTGGCGAGGTAGTAGACCGGCTGGCTATGCTTGCAGTTGGTGTTAAGATTTGCCCGAGTGCAGCAGCGTGAGGACTTGACTACGGAGTGCTCTACATGGCTGTCCGCCGCGTCGCAATTACGGGACATAGGATCAACTGGCTTTAGCGCTCGATAGCCAAAGTTTGTCGAAGAATGCAGAGCGTCTCAATTTTTGAGAACACTCGGAGTAATCGATAAATGTGGGCAGCATTGGAGGGGCCAAAAACAGCAGATCAGTTTCAGTGAAAAGGAAGCATGTCATCTTCCGGGCGCCGAGGGTTGCAAGCAGCAGAAGTTGCCGAGATTTTGATGGCAGGCTCTCCACAAAGGGGACACAGTTCAATGTCCACATACAGACCAACTTCTGGTCAGAGTTCAACCATTGCTCGCCCTCTCACTGGGAGGAGCGAACGAAATGTGCGCCCCCATACCCCTGGTGAGACCTCAATTGCTCTTGACGGTTCTCATCCCCTCTGATCATTAAGCCAGGACCATACCTACCGCTACCACCGTTAACATCGATAAAGAAAAGTCAGGGTAGAATTATTGATACATAATTTTTCATTCACGCTGCATCCGTGACACTGAAAGTGTCCATATATTATCGATTTCTTCTTTCCAAAAGTCCCATCAGGATGATGTTGTTCCATGGTTGTACATCAGCTTGCAGTGAACTTTGATTCAACTTCTATCACATGATCCTAATTTCAACTATTTAAGTCAAACACTGGCTCAACTATTCCCAAGTTAGCGTTCCATCATTCTATAAGCAGAGCTCTGCTTTCACATGGTTTATGTTCAAATTTAAGCATTTGAGCATAATTCTAATTCAAAATATTTTTTTCATCCAATTTTGAGTGATCAGTGGCCAAAATAATTGTCTATTCACCAGGATAAACCAGAGGTTAGAACCTCACTCCTGTCGCTTGAATTTGATTAGTTGTCTGTAAATCCTTAATGCTCAACTGCCCCCAACGTATGTGCTATGCCTCATATATGCCTATATGCCAACTCCTCCACGTCACTGCACCAGTGACCCTGTAAACTTCTTGTCATTCAGGAGGTAAATTTCATTTGTAAGAAATTCATTTGCTGCTTCGGTTGTCCCAGCACTTCTTCTGATTCTTCGCAGCTTTCATACATCACATGAACGAATGAAACAATTAATGAGCGAAAGATACAATAACTAATTTACTTTCAAGTGTACTGAAGTCCAAAATGGACCATGGGACCAAAACCAAGTCAGAGCAGAACCTGGGTAACCTCTATAGCTCCTGTCTCTAAGTCTATGAAGATTGATCACGTGCCCTACATCGCATAAGCCGATATGCAGGGCTGGAACAGCTTGAGGGGAGAAATTCCATTAGGTGTGCCACGGACCTGTTCGTAGCTTATCGTAATTGAGGACAGACGGTCGGTTGATTTTTGATATGACTGTTGCATTGAGTAGGAGGAAGCATTGGACTAGACACACCGTTGACAGTCGAAAGCCGTCCTGTGACGCACCACGGCATGATCAGCATGCGCTCACCGTCTCAAGGTAATTCTGTGCGAAGCTTGCGAATGTCTCGTCTGTTCCTTACCGGATGGTTGAACACTTGTCCCATAATTTGAGCTCGTTCATTGACATAAACGCAGAAACTCCAGCGTAGATTTTTATGACTAGACCATTATAATGTGATAATCGACAATAATTCTACGCAACCTTCTAGCAGAAGAATACATTGACGCAGGTAGAGGATAGAAATTTTGACTAGAATTGTCAACGATGTTTAACAGGTCCAGGACGGAAAATCCTCGATAAATCGTACTTCCTTGGAAAGTTGCGAAGCAAGAAGCAAGAGCTTCAGGCAGAAATCGACAGCATGACGATTGAGATTGATCGCCTGCAAAAGATGGGACCAGCAAGTGTTCATCTTGAGCATCAGTAAGAAAGCGATTGCCTTCTTCTGCTTGATTCTGGCTTGAATTTCATGAGAATATATCGAGTATTATTGTGCTTCTCTCGGGATCCAGAACATGTATTCTGAGTCTAGACACAGAAGCGTTGAAGGTGGCCTAATGAAAGTATCGTCAGGTCTAACCTGGAATCAGGTAGCATAAATATCAGCTTAACGTTATGAGCCACAACTTAGCATCACGCTGCTGGCAGGAAGTTTTCATTGTTCTGCTTTAACCTCTTAGTAAGACTGTCTGGCTTCTACAAAAGAATAGGTGTAGAGTATAGAATGAGAAACTAGCGTACCTTCTCTTTTCTTGGTGTCGCAGCCAAGAATCCTTGGTGGAAGAGGTGAAAATTTTGCGAGGGCAACTCGGAGACTACAACACGGTGATGGAAAAGGTAAGAATTGTGATTGTATCATCCAATAGGGCGGAAAGATAGCAGAAACTTCAGACGCAGAGGTTATTAATTACGAGAATAATTGCGCAGCGATCTATGAAAGAGTCTATCCTTTTGTTCGGGATGAGGAACACAAGATTATCTATGGATTTTCCATGGCTAGAAGAAATACACTTCTCAAGGTTCATCTGTTCGTACTTTCTCGCATTTTACATCCAGATTGTGACTCGCTGATCCATTTCGACCATCAATATCTCTTGTTCTAATCTTGATGGTCATTTTAGCGACGTTGTCACCCTGAGTTTCATGGTGTTTAGAATCAGATACCGCATGGGGAGATTGATGCCAAAGTCGGACATGGCTATTCAAGTATGTGCAGGTCGTCATACAAGAGGAAAATAATCACCTCTAACAAACGATCTAAAGACTCGTAGAATTTACAGAATGAAGAAGGCCTTGTTGCATGCCTTCACTTCTTCCATGAACTTGCCTATTTCAATACTGGTAGCTGCAGATGGATTGCGGCATGTTGACTACAACTAGTGACAATTGACCAAATATGCCCATTATCTAGCTCGAACTTCGGTTCAGAAATTCTTCAGACATCACCTTCCCCGGCAGATGTGCGTGCACACTGTTCACCGATTTCTATAATGGTACCAAGGACTTTGTTACATGTCCTAGTTCATTGTCTGAGCGGGGAATGCAGTAGTGAGTTCTGCTCAATGGAAGCTCCGTGATAACTTGTGCTCTCCACAGTTTCAGAGAGTGAATCTTATCTGAACATGAACAGAGACTAGTGTTTCTAGAGCAGAACTGTAAGTTTTCTTGACACCCGAAACTTCAGAGTTCAGGACATCCTTAGATAGTTTCTGAGGCATCAACTCAGATCTTCGGATCTCACTAACTTCTTTGATCTTTGAACTCAGATCAAAGAAGTGACATATGTCCATCTATGACAGCGGTTGCTGTAGCAGTAGTCGCACTAGTCATATCTCTGCTGAAATGTATAGTCCACCTGGACGGTAAGAATCAGCAATACTGGGCTGGTAACAGAACTCACTGTAGAAAGATGTAGTGACTTGAAGGTAGATAATACTTTAAACTGTCAAAGGATACGAGATTTGTCACTGTTCTACATCAAACCAAACGCAGGAGTTTTATAAAATCGCCAGCTACTATTTCTAAAATTTCACCTAATCTGGGTTTCTGTGGGACTTGAGACACCAATTACAAGAGGTGCAGATATCAACACTGAAATTGGCCCTTGTTAATTATTATTAGTACTCGAACGTTGTAGGCATATCTACCACAGCATGATTTGCATCTAGACGTTCCACTATTAACCACCATCACTCGTTTTTCTTCTTTAAACGACTCTACAGCTGTAAAATGTAATTGTACAGTTTGCCAAGTTTTCTCATTCCTAATGGTCCTTGACAGCTGCTCAATGTTCGGGATATACTTTATTAAAGATTACAATTTTATGGATCAGGTGGCAGCAGGTGTTGATCTCGAGCAACTGAAGGACAACATTAAAACCATGAAAGAAACGATTGACAATGAAAGGAAAAAAATTGACCAGATCTTCTCTGAGCGATCCCAGTTGAGTAAAAAAATCAGGAAATGAAGCAGATTTACTTTAAAGTGACATGTTTTTTTCCGTCTGATGATTTCTGCCACTCTTGACCTTGTTTTAGTCCAGTCAAGTTTTAGATTGCAAAGTAGCTGGTGATTACATGTTGCAGATTTCAAAACTCTACTGTGCTTGATGTTCTGGAGTCCATATATATGCTTTTATAATTTTAACCAGTGTTACCAAGTAACCTAGCCTGTAGTTCACCAGGTGTTTTGCAATACTCTTAACACAGATCCTTGTCATTGTAGAAAGGAAAGAGAAGCTGCAGCCTTTGAGAAGGATGCATGTCTACTTGAAGCCGAGTTAGAGCGTCGACTAGATCACGTTAGTTTTATACTCTTAAAAATCTGCCCATCATTGTCTTAAAATTCCAGAAAGAAATGTTCTCCGCTGAAGTTGAGACAAGAATTTACTCACCTTACAAGTCTGTATCTCTCTGAAGTCTAATCATTTGAATTATCCCTGTTTAGACGATGCTTTGAACGTGGACGTAATATTATCCAATTACAGAAGAGTGTTATACACTTCGGAAAATACTTTCGAAACTCTACTTGATAAGATGCCAGAAAGACTTTAAGATTTGATTTGCTGTGTAGGTTGAATGTAAGGTGCTCCACTGCAGGCAGGAGACAAAAGAGATAAATATTTGGACTTAAAGCGGGAGAAACAGTTACTCATGAACGAAGAGGAAGAGCTGGAATCTAAGCTGGAGACCCTTAACCACTCCATAGAACCTCTTGAACAGGTGACCCACCTGTTTTTATTATCACTATGCTCACGCAAGATGATTAGTCACTGGAATTGAAAGATAAAATCATCACCGAGGACGAATCCTAGTAAGATAGTAATGAACCTGCCAGTTGATGAGGTATATGATATATAAGTAGGGCCGTTGGTACTGTATCCCGAACGAATACTATCCATGTTCGAAATTGCTCTTATAATACAGGAATTGGCAAGGGCATCCCCTACCAAGCACAAGGCTGTGAACTTGGTAGAGCAGAGTCTAATTGCCGAAAATGAGCTGCGGCGTTTGAAGACAGAGATTACCCCTGTTTCACAACTGTCACATTCAGAAGCTCGTGAGGCCATGATATTTCAGGTATACAGTAGGCTCGAATCTACCTACCATGACGTGTTGCCAAAAAAATGTCTCTAATTCGACAGCAAATGTGCATACAGTTCCAATCCTCGTGAGTTGCTGTTTGCTGATTCTCTGTGCTACCTAGGTTTGGACGATCACATCCACACTCATGTCATACTACTCTCACCATGACCAAGTGTGTTTGTAACGGCAATGAAGGATAGGTCACTGTCAGTAAATTGACTACAATGCCTGCATTCAATAGTTTATGAAGAAGTAAAAGTGGTAGCAAATAATTGACAGGAGCGACAGTTTTTTTGTTCCTCGATATTGAGATAACACTTTTTCCTATTTAGTATTCTATGCCGTGCAAACATTTAAAAGAAATATATGCCCGTGAATGACTATGTTAATGATCTGTATAAGAGAACAATGACTTCTATCGCAGATAAGACAAGATAATGCAGAGATTTCAAAAGCGGAGGAAAAGAGAAAATTGTTGGAAGCTGAGATCAAGACCCTTGAGGATAAACTCGTGGCAGCAGAAACGGTCCTGTCTGAGCTTAAAGGTCTGTCAACGTGATCAAAGACAATTGTTGTCGTTGCCTTCTCTCACCAAGCAGTCTTCGTTGATCAATCAGGTCAAGGATAGCGATATGTTTTCTCAAGCATGCCCGCCAGTGCTTTAGAGCAACTGCTTACTTTAGATGTTGCATATATATGGGTGCTTCAGAATCTTCAAACTCTAAATTCTAATTTACACATAATATGATGGTAGATTTACGGTTCAATGATATCATCCAAAGAACGGTGTTTAATCACTTTCAGCTCCAAATAGTATTACTGCCTGTTCTTTACACAGAAATCAACTGTCGTGTCTCACGACAGAAGGTTGAGTTTCAGTATATCACAGAAAACATATTGGAACAAACTTTCTTATATCAAGAATCCATTTCTGTCATCAGTCAGACAGCCTATTAGACATAGTTCGTATTGACAGTCACACTCCCTTCTCGGTGTGTAATCTGTGCATCAGGTGGGAGGGCAGATAAGTTCATGGAAATGCAAGAGAAAGATAGGAAGATGCAATCGTTCATTGATGACTACGAAAATATGCGTCGCGAGCGGACTGAAAAAATACGTACGGTGAAAGAGAAAATTGATCTCCTTCTCGAGCATGTAAGACATGTCCGGAGTTGCTCTTGCATGTTGCCAACAGAACCTTGGTAATTAAAACTTAGCCGTGAGAACTGTGAACACTTTTTAGGCTCTCATGTAACTCCGTCGAACCAAATAATTGCTCTATTCAGTTAAACAACTAAACTTGGTTCAGACGGCGATGAAAATATTCGGAAACACTTTTGAGAGTAGATTGATTCTCAAAAGTGATTCCGAATTTTTTCATCGCCGTCTCAACTAGTATGAATAAGAATCTTCACAATACATGTTTTCTTTCTTCCTTTAGTCTATAATAGAGACTAAACCAGCAAGAAAAGACCTCTCATTCGTTCTGACCAAGTTCTACACGCTTTTGATTCACTCAGAGTAACCCCGAACTGATGTCCGTCGTCGAACTAGACCCTTTTGGACACCGCAATAGCCCAGCAACATAATGTACACTTACACTATGCAGGTGGATATCGATTGTTCTGACAGTGGTGACAGGATCAATAACGAGGGCACTCAAGATATTGAAGGGCTCACACAAGGTACCGGACCAGACCAAAGACGGCATGTAGGTAGTCAAACGATTTTGTGGAGCAGAATTTACAAGCCAGCATCTTTCTTTTCATTACTGCTTCCGAGCGTGTGGTCTTCGACGGCTTACTTAACGCAATGTCCACTAGATGGACTAGTTGGAGATTAAACAAGTTCCACTACGCTTTAGATTAAGCTAGTTTTCAGTTTCTCCCTTGCAGGAGTTTCTCATAGTAGTAATAAGAGTTGGAAATTTGTTGATCAGATTTGGACGAACGGAAGAGGGAACTAAAGCAGCTCGAAGAAATGGATCTGAAGACGAGAAATGAGATTTCGTCATGCAGACAAAAAATTGCGTGCTCACAAGCCGAGATCGAGAAATTCTCACGTTTGGATGAATTGCGGGCTGCTTCAGAGTCCAAGTGCTCGGTACGTGAAGCAATGCACACGTGATTAAGGTCACTGTCTAAGCTAGTGCAAAACTCTGTTGGTCCTCAACCTCCGTGAAATGGATGGAATAATATCGAAGGGCAAAATATCACATCGACTGGGCTTTCATCAACGAGCAACACTGATGCACGCAACGTGCAGCTGCTAGGCAAGCAATCCATGGAAGTTGTTAGGAGAGTCTGATTCTCGGCAGATTATCCAATTCAGAGAGCTTATTCATACCGTTCCGACTTTCGGGTACCTGGCTCTGGATACCAAGGACTTCCGCGTCAATCATGAGCCTCCACTAATTTCATTTGTTTGTTGATTCAGTACATGAAGGCACTAGAACAAGTTCTCAGGCAGTCCGTGCGATGAGATGTATCCACTACTGCAGCACTCGATGTGAACCTTCTGAATGATATCTAATGATAGAACTTGCAATAATGCAGCGATTGGAAGATGAGAAAAGAGTGACAGAGGGGAAAACCCTGTCAGCTAAAGTTCAGTCGAAGGAGCAGACGATGAAGCTGGAGTTACTGCAACAACATGTCAATGAAAGCCCGGTGCACAAAAATCTGGAAATTCTTCATCAAACGCTTCTGACAATTCAGCAGAGTATTTGTAAAGCGCAAGAAGGTATGCGGGCAATTTCCAGATGCACCAGCTTTTTTGGGCACGTGCCCTGCGTCCTTATATTCTAACCACGGAGTATGGGAAAAGCCTTTGTTGGTTCCAGAGAATGCGTCTGACATTCTCACATATTTAGTCGAAATGCGTCAGGTTTTTGGAGGACATTTGTGACTCACCTTTCCAAGGGAGCAAAAACGTGCCGATAATATAAAGAACTTTGTGTGCAGATTTGGACGCACGGGAGAAGGACCTTAACTATACGCCCGTGCTGGAGAACATCCGCTTCATGGTCGCTCAACTGAATGGAGAGATCAAAAGTGCGGTCCTCCATTGAGGTCCAAAAGGGTGCTAGGCACACAGACTACTCCATGTCAGACCAGTTGAGCGAAGGGTTCCGTGCAGTCGTGTCCGCTTTCCACAGCGTCGCAAAGTGCCTACGAAGGCTAGATCTAGAACAAAGCACGAGCCTCTATCCAGGCTCGAGCTCAGCAAGCGACTCACATGCAGCCTGCGGATCTTCTGCACAAGAAGTCCGGGAGAGACACAACAGAATCTCGGGCTGCTTTACTGACGTGACATAAATCCTTATTAAACGCTATACGATTGCACCGGAGAAACCCTACGTGAGCAATCGCACATGTGTGTGCCGCTCTTCGAAGCAGCGAGCAGCGGCGTTGCCAAGGTCGGTCTCAGGCCAGATCCTATTGGCCTTCGATTACAATGAGCAAAGTGTGTGATTGACCTGTTCTTTTCCTCTCTTCATCATGTGGACCATCGGGCCCCCGGGTCCCCTTTAAACTGCGTGGTCGTTTATCATATACAATGAGTCGTCTTTTACTCCTCTCAACAACAACATCATCACCATCGCCGCTCCAGTCACGGCCCTCGGCCTCAACTTGCCTCCGAGCCACAGTGAACGGAATTTATGGGCTACCCCTGATCAATCGGCGACACCCTTTCGGCTGGCTTTCGGTGTACGAATGGATGGCTTCCTGGTCGAGTCCGGTGGGGTCCCTCGCATCGACGGTCGCTCGTTGCTATACGGAACACGAGCGGGTTCTTCATCTCATGGCATTATATAGGATCGGATCGAGCCCAGTTGGCCGCGTGTGGACCACACCTGGCGACCATCATTCAGGACATGGAAGTTGGGAATCAATGTGCTGCAGGTTTGGCTCCGATGACCTCCCGGGATCGAGCTTCACTCCGCACTCCGAGTCCAGTTAGAGCTCCAGAGGCCGGGAACGGATGGATTGCCGGCAGATCTGACCAAAGAGAAAAGTGCCAGTTATATTGGAATTCGACCCACGTTTTGGGAAGTCCAGCTCATCCGGCCCCCATGTTGACTTGCCACTCGCTCGGTCCAAGGAAAAGCAGACGAGCAGAACGGAGCTTCCAGCCGAGAGCTAATGTCATCGTCGCTGCAAGCGATCATTGACTTTAACGAACGAACATCTCATGGCCAAACGCCCCGAGGCCCAGCGAGGCGTGGTCGAGCTCCTCGGAAGGTTCAAAGCCGGTGTCGGATCCCCCAACCATTCCAGGTTCCGAGGTTCGACTGACGTCGCAAAGGGGCACGGCCGTAGCGCTCCTGCGAGGATGAACATGAACATGAGCCTGAGCGAAGTCTTGCGAGAGGCATTTGCGGCTTTTGAAGTTCTAGAACGAGCACATTCTTCTCATGGCCGAGCGAGAGCTAGAGCGAGTGCGAGAGCAGCCCCTTCGTTCAACAGCCAGACGGACAAATCCCTGGACCCAAGGCTCCGCTTTCCCCAGGATGTGGAATCGGTGCTACTCACACGAATGAATGCCGAATGAATAAAGGCGCAATTCCCCCCCAAGCCTCGATCCGTCTCGCCTCATCTCATCTCATCTCATCTCATCCCATCCCATCCCCTCCCCTGCGCGCTCTAACGGTCCCGGATCACGGGCAGACCAGCCCGAGGCAGCCCGGAGTCAACAGGGCGGGGGCAGGGCCAGGGGCCGGGCACTAGCAGCACATGGGCTACGAGAGGGGCGCTAGCTAGCGCTAGCTGCGAATGGATCCGGGCAAAATATCTACCGCAGGGGGGAACTCGAATGGACTGCCGGAATTGGCCCGTGCTGGCCGTGCGATCGTCATCTCCAAGTCAATGATGGTTGCATGCGGCAGCGGCCTCCGTCTCGCACGAGAATCTCAACCTCGTGGACCCGGCAGGGGAAGGCGTGCCTGCCAGGTGCAACGCTCTCGTCCCCCCGGCAGGCACTCTGCCGCAGTTCGGCAGTCAGGGCCACCATCCCGAGGCTCCATGAGATCCCGATCGAAGAAGATCGGCATTCCCCTTCATCCTTCCGCCGATGCCCCGATCCGGCGGTAAACTAATCCAGCGACGGATGATGATCTGCATTATGCTGCTGCTGCTGCTGCCCTCCCCTTTCCAACCACATGTTCTATTCGGAACTCTCATGCGGCCACCCCCTGCTCATGCTCATGCTCATGCTCCAGGTCCTCTGATGATCTGTACCCGTCGGCCAATCCAATCCCCACTCGCGACTTCTTCCGCCTCTTGCCCCATCTTGCGCTTCCGACATGCGCCGTGGACTTTCTCTGCACCCCTCCGCCAATCCTCCCCCTTCTCACTCACGCTGCTGCTGCTGCTGCTGCGTTCTGTTCTGGTCACCGCCAGACACAATTCAGCGACACGGAGCGAACTTTAGCTGCCAAAGTAAGCAGGAAAAGCAGTGCCATCGGCATCTCATTGCACCGACTTGGAAAATGTGGCATGGGTGCTCGCCCATATTATCTATCAGCCTAGAAGACGATTCTGTAGTTTAGGCTTATGCCTACTGTTTCGGTTTACCTCTCGCCTCCGATCTTACATCCTGAAGCACTGAAAAAGGCTAGGAAATCTCCTCCGATTTGGCCGGAGAACCAGACTTAGCAGCCTCGCAGGGGATTCGACATGATCACCTGCAACTTTTGCCATCGAGCCCTCATTCTCGCTTGCCCTTGAATGTCCTCGCAGGCCAGTCTAGTCAAGCGCACAGCATCCAACGCATCACTCTCTCCTCTTTGTCTTTCGTCTTATCAGCATTGTCCTGTCTTCCTCTCTTTCCATGCCATGAGTTTTGCTGCTTGTCTCGAACAGTCGATCCGGGGATACTGTAGGTCGGTCAGAAAAAGTTGATGAGATCATATCCTCCTCACTGTGAATTTCTCCGGCCCTCCCTTTGTCATATCTGCAGCTGCGGTCGACCACTCGAGACGTTTTCTCACCACCTTCCCATACTTATGGCCTAAGCAACTCATCTCGTGCCCCCACCCTCCCTTGCTTGCTTTATTTCTCCTCCCCGTGCTCACTACAGTTCTCTACGATCACGTTCTTAAAAGGATTTCGGTGTAGCCATCTGCACTGCTCAAATGCAGCTTAGATTCTTCTCACTCGGTTTATCCCACACTTAATCATTGCTTTCGATCCGACTCCAAGCCCTCCCCTCCCCTTCCCTTGCCTCGCGTTATTTGTTGAACCACATCTTTTATCCCGCCTCGTTTTCACTGTGCAGGTTTTTTCTCTCCGGTTGACTTTTATGCTCATGCACATTTTCGCTGGGCCGACATTTGAAGTCCTGTGCTCCCCTTTGAACTGGCAACTGTTGGAAATGTTTTTCTTCCGACGTTTGCCTCAAGTTGCACTCCACCTACTGTTTCCTATCGCCCACCCTTCGACCATCCTAGAACAAGATACTCACATCGTCTCGCACAACAACATAGGGATGTGCAAAAGGCATAGTTTCCTTGCTTGACGTAAAAGTGGTCCATTTATGATGATTTTGGCGCTCTGCATCTTCTGGTTAGATTTTCATCAGAATGTCTTGCCCCTTTTTATAATGCTTTCTATCGGATTCAGAGATGCGGTGGAGCAACACGAAGCGATGTTGTTGGTTGATTACATTCTACAGCAGTGTGTAAGGGTTTGGACGCTATCATGAACAATAATTTCCACTTATTCTCTGTCGTCAAGGTTTCCTTCCCAGTTTCGCACTGTTTGTATCTTGGGAACGTATCGTTACAATTCCCAACACGGACTTGCGTTTTCCGTCTGAAATGTACTCTTATTATTGAGATTGTTTATGACACCATCTGAATAAGAATATTTTAGTCCCCAGAGGCATATGAATGTCATGTACTCACTCAACTAAAGCATGTGCATTTCTATTCGCTTTTGACCTGACTTGATAAGCAAAAGCTATCATTTATTGCAGATCCTATCTCCCCATTATTGTATTCATTTGACCGCAGATCCTCAAATTGTTGTCAAATGCAATATCTGACCTCACCGCAGCGCAGTTCTTCCAGTAAATATAATTTCTAACACTTGTTAATGTTACAAAAATTAGCACAGTGACTTCCGTGGTAAGTGATGAACTTCACTTACTGTCAGCCAGAGGATATATGTATCCACTATACGTACATATGGTAGGTCTAAAGAGAACTTAATCATAAATGCAATGTAGATTTATATTACCAAAAAAAGTGATTATTGAAAACAGAAATCAACTCACAAAATAAAATCATGGGGGTCTGAAACCTCAACTTGACAATCTCCCTCGATAGAGATTTCCAGTATGCTGTGAAGTGCCTATAACATATCGATTTTATAAAAACATTTGGCAAAGGACTAATTTCTCGCATTTGTAAATGGGAATTGTACAGCCTTATACATGATCTTACCTCTGTTGAAATTATTTTGGTCCAAAGGCTATCTGTTGGCTTGTTTGTACAGTTTGTGAGTCCACCAACTTGAACTAACTTTCCACCGGCTACGTTGCAGTAGATACTACTGGAGAAAAGTGATAGACTAGGCAGAAACAATGTGTTCACTTCACTCAATTATTGCTCTCACCCTGGTGGCACTCTAAACTGGTCTTCTGGCCCAAAATTGACCTTTTCATACACTGTTGTGAACTATGATTACGAAGGCCAGTAAAGGTTGCAAGATAAGATAGAAAGAGTTCTACGATCATTCGATATTGTACTGCTTAATGCTCACTTACCCACATCTGATCCATGCAATCACACGCGCGTTTAGTGGGAACAGATGAGTGAAGTCGAGTGCTGATGAGGATCTCTTGAAACTATTAAAAAACTATTTTTGTTTCTATTATTTGTGCAACGAAAGAAACTATTCGAAAATAATGCACTTGCCATAATAGCACACATCTTAGCTGGGACAATTTCCGAAAGATACCCTCGAGTGCTATAGAGAGATGCCTAGTATATGCATGTTTGAAACTCATTCATACTTGTGCATGTGTGTGGTCGGTACAATATTGCTCATTCCAAACATGTGCAATTTTCCTATCGTTCAGAATTTCTGCTCTGAACGGGTCATAAGAGTGTGCAGCTTACTTCCCAAAAGGACTGTCAGAATTCGTGTGTATGCGATGCGCGTATAATCGAAGCAGTACGAAGGGTAAACAGGTCTCGAAAAATAATGCACGCCAGCTTCTAAAATTCCACTTTTTACAGCAGCATGCTTCCTTCTCCAGGTATCAGGTCTCCGATTGGAGATTCCTTCTCCAACTGGATAACTCTGCCATTGGAAATCTCATTCACACGCTGGAGCTTGTGATCATAGAAAGTCGCGCGTAAGATGGCCAGGAGCATGGGAAGACCCCTTCAATTAACTCAAGTCAAGTTGTCCGTGCGTACGTACGTTCACAGGGATGGATGAAACCAAGACGTTAGCATCACAATGGAGCTTTTCAGTTGGTGTTGGGTGCTTCCCACTTCGCTCTACTTTCTCTACATTCTTGCCCGTGGCCACTGGACGCAAAGCTGATGAAGGATGGAATAT